TCGCCTAGAGCGCAGGCCAACCTCGGGCCGGCCCTGCCTCCCTGGGAAAGCTACTTTAAGTTGGAAGACCTGCAACAAGGTTTGCGTGATTGTCAGGCACCCTTCAAAACGGTGGCTGAGATCTGCAACACAACTTTTGTAAGATCTTATGTTTTCCCTGGTATGTTTCAGCTTGGGGTTATGGCTTCACTGAGCAGATTTTTCAGTCTACGCTCTGGGACCCTTGTTCAGAATTAAATCTAACAAGTGGGAACCCGCGAGTATTGCAGGGGAGGGATCTCAGCTGCAAAAAACAAACAAACCCCATTACTGGAAACCACGGCAGCTACCCCCCCATCACCTCCACTGCCTACATCTCTAGGTCCTCCCCCATCCCTTGCAGTGCCACATCTCCTGACTCCCCCCCCCCTTGCCTCCATTCCTGGCAAGCCCAGTGCGGCTTCCAGCCTTTGAGGGGGGATTTAAAACCCCCCCATTGTATTCTTTTAAAGTTTTCAACTTTTCTGAGGAGTCCCCAGGTTTGCAAAACTATCTGTTTTGGGGTAAGCGTGGCCCGGATTCACAGGTTTAGATATCCTCAGTTGGGGACCACACTTGAGAAATAGATATACCGATGACAAGAGATGCTTTGTCTGGAATCCTGTTTTTAAATCCTAATTTTTTATCTGTGACTAGAGGAGAATTCAGTGATAATGTTGCATACTAGGTGGGTGATAATGGAGTAAAGATTACAAGCCACTGCAATAACAAATCTTCCATAATGGGTCTTCAGTGTGTGGAATGATAAACTCACTTAGATCTCACCTACACTTCTTCATCCTTTCACGTAGGGATGTGCACACAAAAAAAATCAGGGTTTTTCAGATTCAGGTATATTGGACCCAAAAAAATTTAGGATTCCCCCCCAAAAAACCAGAATTCCAATACCACCCACCCATCCTCATGTCCCCCACCTGCCTGTGTGTCCTTCCCCTACTTGCTCGCAAGACCTCCCACCCACCACCCACACTCACAGCCTCCCGCTCCACTGTCAAACTCGGGCATTTGACCAACGGCACCTGTTGTATTTCTACCCAGAACCTAACAAAGGTTAGTAAAACGTGAAGAAGAGGGCCAATATTAAAACCTAAATGTAGAAAATATATAGGAAAAGATACATGTATTTATTAATTTCAAATTTTAAAACAAATATAAGGGCCCATTCACATCGAATATATAAATAACACGGCAATACACACGGGCTTAAAAACATGACCTGATGCGTTTTGGCCTGCACAGGCCTTCCTCAGAGGTCAAACAATTGAGTGGCAAGATGGCTATATAAATATAATACACTCATGTAGACACAATCAGAATGGATACAAAATATAAATTCAATATGGACCAGAAAACAAGTTGTTCCAGAATAAAACCACCAGGCACACAATAAATATGCAAATGAGATCTTTAAAAGTGCAATCACTTGGCCAGTGGTTCTAAAGTATAGACTTTTGGTCCAAGAATTGCCTTCTTTGATTGTGTTGCCACAGTGTTCTCAAGTAACTGCTTTTTACTTGAGAACACTGTGTATATATATATATATATATATAGCCATCTGGCCACTCAATTGTTTGACTGCTGAGGAAGGCCTATGCAGGCCGAAACGCGTTAGGTCATGCTTTAAAGCCCGTGTGTATTGCCATGTTATTTATATAATTGATGTGAATGGGCCCTTATATATGTTTTAAAATTTGTAATTAATAAATACATGTATCTTTCTCTATATATTTTCTACATTTAGTTTTTAATATTGGCCCTCTTTTTCACATTTTACTAACCTTTGTTAGGTTCTGAATTTTTGTGTTAAGGTTCAGTTTTTTGCCCTTTCTGGCCCTGCTTCACCTTCTTTGGGGGCCACAGAATTGGATCCCCTGGTCCAATCGTTTTGAACATTGGGTGGTCTTTTGAGGAGAGGCAGCAGCAGCTACTCCGAACATTTGGTGCCTCTACCTCAAAAAACAGGCCCCCAGATCGATTCCCCATTATAGCCTATGGGGACCATAGGCTGTAATGGAGCCAAAGGCATTTAAAGGTATTGTGGTCCCTTTAAATGTCCTTGTGAAGCTGCAGCTTCATCCGGAATGGCATAAAAAGGGACTGCAGTCTCTTTAAACACTGTTTAACTACAGCTATCCTGCTTTCCCAGATAATCCCAATTTTATGGGGATTATCTGGTATGGGCTATGGTGGATAGCTGTAAATACACGCACAAACCCCTCTATACCAGGCTGAAATAGCTGAAATACCAATAAGGTATTTTTCCAGCTCAGATATAGCCAAACGCACACCTCTACTTTCAAGCCACCTGTCCCTTTAACAGACTTCTCCTTTGCAATCCATCTTGGGCTGCCACAGTGTGACCTGGAGAATCTACCGTTACCTTGAACTCTCCTACAGGAGAGGATTTTGTTGTCATTCTTCCCAGATCCCACCGCCCCTCTCATCACCCCATATCTGTGGTGGGTGGGACAAAATTGAAGTTCTGTGTGCTTCTGAAGGAAGTATGTGATCAGCAGGGCCTCGGACAAAAAAGGGCAGGTGGCAACCATCCCACTTGCCACATCAGTTTTGCGGAAGACTGTGATTTGACAACCCTGAATCCATCTTCTTATGAAAGCATGAAGTGTCTGGGAGGCTCAAGGGACCATAGAGCTGAGTTGTGAATTTTTTTCTTTCTTAAGAACGGTGAACACTCATCCCTTTACAGAGTACACATTAAAGCATTCATGTAGTGCAAATGATAGCTTTGCTATCAGCTTCTGCCATATGACATTTCACACTACACTAAAATTTATACAGACAAGTGATACCCAATAAATATGCTTCTTAAAAGGAGTCCGTACGTGTGGGTTCCCCCCCCCCAACTCTTTAAATCCCTTTTATTTTTCCCAAGCCCTCATTCCAAACTTCAACTGTAAGGTTGGTTTAGAAAGATATGCAAACTGGATCTGTGTAGCATACCCTCTTAACATATTTAATAATTAGAAATATGCTAATGCATTAATTTCAATAAAGCTGGTTTGTTCCGTTCCGTACCTTCGATTTTTATTGTCTTTAACCAATGAGAAGCAGAATATACTGCCGCCAATTATGCAAAGTGATGATCCCGCCCATCCAATGAACAAAGCCGCTCCTAATTCATACCTGCAGGAAAGCGATACATTCACACTTAGTAAAGAGTTATATCAGCAAAATGGGTTTCATGTTATTTTATTTTGTTTTTGTGACCAAGACAAACAAAACCATCCAAAGCATTTACATAATATTTCACTAAAGGGTTGCAGAAGATGCACACAGTATATTGCAAAAGAGAACAAGAAAACTTCTACTCTTCCCCCAAATATTGGGTTTTTTTAAAAATTCACTGATCATCAGTTATAGCAGGGGGTCCTCAACCTGTTTAAGTCAGCAGGCACCTTTGCAATTCTGATACAGGGACGTGGGTGCAACCACAAAATGGTTGCCACAGGACAGGTATAAGAGGGGTAATTTTAAAAATACAATGCGAAAGAGGAATGAAAGAGAATAAAACCAACATTGTGGTGGAATCTGCTTTTGAAATAAAGTTATTGTAATTTATACAAGAGGGGTCGCGGTGGCTCAGAGGTTAAGATGCTGAGCTGCAAACCGGAAGGTCTGTATGGTAGTTTGAGACCCTAGTGCCACATGACAGAGTGAGCTCTTGTCTCTGGCCCCAGCTCCCACTTCGGTGGGAAGGTAATGGCTTCCGTGCGCCTCAGCGTTTAGTCATGCCAGCCACATGACCACGGAGAAGTCTTCGGACAGTGCTGGCTCTTCGGCTTGGAAACGGAGATGA